AGCTGACGTTTCGAGCGTTAGCCCTTCGTCTGAGCGAATACTTTTTATTTACATAACCTTTTCCCCTTGTAAGTGATTCTAAAACATAGTTTATATTGATTTGTCAAAACATGCTCCTTTCTATAATTGTATGCGAAATACAAGACAATAAGACCAACTATTGGTCTGGGTCAAAGTCTACTTTTTTAGAGAATCCGATGTAGACCAGATGTTCTGTTAATTTGAATTTGACAACTGCCATTTTTAGTTAATAATTGTTTTATTTTTCCATTTTAAAATAGCAATCTGTTTACATTGAGATAATGTAATTATCTTTACTGCATATGACTTATGTACAGGAACTTCCTCAAAATCAATTTTCTTGCACGTGTGGCCGCTTCTTGCTTTTATTTCTTAGTAGGTGATTCAGTGGTTCGTTGTTTCTCAACGAAAGGGGAGCACTAATTTAGAGCTGAGTAACCGAAATTGGAGAATTTACGGTATTTAAGCCTTCATATACTTTGTCTTAGTTATTTTCTTTGTCTTAATTATTAGAGATTTTCAGCCAAGAAACTCGTTAACGCAATGAGCATTTGTACGACAGCTTCGCTTGATGTGAAAAATCTTTCGTCTTTTCTTTCCACCGACGGCTTAAATCTTTTTTTTATCTCTTAAAACTGACCTCGAAAAAGTCGTTTTCTTATCAATCTAACAGGATCTATCCGTCAAAGTTACGCTAATTTACGTGATTAACCTTTAACTCCCAAAAGTGATCTACTTGTAACTTCTCCCTATCATATCCGTACATCATCCAGCCGACAGGTAATGAGAATACTCATACTTATCAGGATGGCGTTATCTTGATCTAAAACCAAACTCTCAAAACTTATTTACAAGGAAATGTGTAGCAGCTAGAAGGGAGAATTGACAATCAGATCTTGGCAGTTAAAGGGTTAATATCCTATCGCCTGAAAAATGATAATAATTGTGAGGACAGAAAAGGAACATTCGTTGTTGCTTATATCAACGTAGTGGTTACGGAGGCTCGATTACCCAGGCTCCTCCAGGAAACTGCGGATATGGAAGTTAGGACGTTCGTGAGATGCCATACAATCTTTTATACACATCATTCAATGAACTGAAGTTAAATGAAAATCCTATTAACATTAGGTCATTTAATCACGGCAGTTAACTAACGCGTTATGTCTCAGTTCAGTAGAGTTCCTTGAAAAGGTTTCCCTAGTTTCTGACCATCTGGAAATCAGCATGATATAAATAAAATCATAAAACGGGAGTCACGGTTGATGCTCACCTTCTGAGGAGGCCTTTGCTCTGCAGCTGACGGATGACCACACATTTTATTTGATTTTTTACAAAAACTAAACTGTATTGACTTAGAATTTTTAGACGGACTGATACCGCATCAAACTAACGACTAGTTGGGAAGAAATGCATACTCGTATTGGCTAGCTTTGCGATTCAATCACAGGATCCAGTCGGTAGAACGGTAAACAGATAATTTCACGCATAACTGATTCTCCAATTCCTTCTTAGGTCTTCCAGCTGCTAAACTCCCTTATTGCAAACTGTCTTTTGTTGACAATTTCCTTGTCGGTTATTTGAAAAGTTCCCAATAATTACGTGAGGAGTAAATACCGGAATGTCAAACCTTTGAAGGCAGTAAAGGTAGAATGCTAGTACCACTTTATAGTGTCCTCTTTTTATACTCAGAATTTACAGAATATAGAATATGGCCGTACAGGAAAAGAGGAATAACACATTTTTCTACATTTTATGCAGGTTTTATCATAAAAAGAGAATAGAGAATATCGGTTGAACACTTATTAATTTCCGCTTGATTCATTGGTTCCACAAAGACGCAAAGAAAAACTGGGCCATTTCTTTTTGTTCACTTAACAATAAATGACCATTTTCAAAATACAAAAAACCTCACTACTGAAGACACTAAACAAAAAAGAACGGATTCCTCTCCTCTCATAGCAAGACAAAATGGTAATACCTATTTCACGGCCAGTACCGCCGGAAAAATGCATGGTCATCATTCAGACGCCAATGCTACTAATTACACTCGAAAATGAACACTGTGAATCATCAGATGTTACTATATATTGTGTACTTGTTTACTGATATTAATCAATTTTTTTTCCTAGTGTTGCATTTGAGAGCTATTTAAAAGCGATATGTTTCGCTTCACGTAGCTACTTGCCCCCTTCGGCATCTCTCTCACACCAGCATCTGACACTTGTTCAGGGAGAACTTGAACACTACCTTTAGAGCGCTTTTAGATTCAGTATTACGAAACTGATGTGTAACTTATGTCAGAGCGTGTTCCGTCAAATCAAATCGACCAAAACCACAAAGCTGTAATAATAACCTGAACAATGATCCTACTGTAAAAAATTACACCCGGATTAGCTTAGTCCGCCTAAAATATGCAGGATGCGTGAAATAGCAACTATAAATACTCATAATTATTAATTCCTTCAATATTAAGTCAACCAAACGTGAAATACATATTTATTTGTCTGTTTACTCAAAGTTCTGCTTTCTAATATACACAACTTGCAAAGTTCCTCACGGGCCATTGGTTTGGACCCTCTTGCTGTGGCACTCAAAGTAATTCTGATTTTCGTATACTGTTAGGGGACGACTTCAAGGTCGTAGAGACGAATAGCAAAATAATAAAATATCAAAACAAATATCAGTTAATCCCAACTTCGACAGTATTGAGAAGGCCCTTTAACAGCTAAAAACAGAAAATTAGTCAAATAAGTTATAGGTCTCTGAAGAACCTACTACTTTGCTGTGTTGGTGAGCTTAACACCCAAGGTGGGAAATTGGCGCCTTTGAACGTCATTTCAGATTAAAGTGGCTCGTTATTTGCTTCGACCTTTTGAACTTTTACAGTATTTTGGCCCCTAATTATTCTCAATCACAATACACCCCAGACACTGTTAATAACCAAGGAACAAAGACTTGCTATTTCCTGCACTTTACTTTCACATACCCTTTACTAAAGTGATAAGATTCCTTCCCTCGACTGCCGCGTTTTGCAAAAATTCAACCCACGTATGGACTTACCACAAAGAAAAATTGGTATTGTCGTTGTTCTTAGTGTTAAGATAAATGTGTTTCTGAAGACTACAATTCTGTTTCTTTGAGTTCATGGTGCTAATTCCCTCATTTTGAAATTTAAGCTCCTCAATTTGCGTCAATTAAAGTATGTAAATAAAGATTTGCTAGAGTATTAATTACGTACTCTAAAAGGTGATTATGAGCCAGTCACCGCAGACAGAATGCTACGTCAGTAGCCAGTTGTCGGAGAGCTCGAGCCCCGGAATTAAGGCCGACGAAACGTCCACCCTTTTGAATTCTGAAGACGGCTTATCTTTTGTTTGTATCAAATTACTGGTTGATCGTCAACGAGGGATGTCATTAAAGCTTGCGTTACCAAACGCACTCCCTGAACTTGCGCAACAGAATCGTTAGATATTTGACGGGTTTGACCTTCAGGAAACGTGTGTCTGTGGACATGGATTTTCACGGGAGAACTAGTTTCATGGTAGTTTGCTTCTTATCAGGTAAGTACGATATAAAACCAAGTCAAGATCTGGTGACTGCGAAGTCACATGCAAAACAACGTCGTTAGTCGTAATTGAACCTTCTCGGTTAAGCGAAATTACTTCTCGGTGAGTTAACGAAGAACAGTGTTCAAATTCAATTAAAGAGCTGTATTGTTAAAGTGAGGAAATAATTGGGCCTTTTCGGC